AATGTGGAAGCTAGGCATGGTAGTGATGGCACATGCCTGTAATCCCAGCACTTGGGAGGCTGAGGCAAGAGAATTGCTAGGCGTTGGAGCCCAGCCTGAGCTACATAGTGAAACTGTATCTCAGAAAAAAAAGATATGGAAGCCACCAAATGAATGAATGTGGGATAGTTCTTTAGATGGTTTGAATCTAAAGTTAATGGATATGTACATGTGTGTATGTATATGTGTATGTGTAATTATAGAAATCCAAAATTATTTAATAGATGCACAGTAAAATGCAAAAATAAATTTTCATCCAAAAGCAAATAGCTATCTTTCCCCCATCTTCCTTCTTTCTTTCTCTTGTACTTGGAGACCTTTTGCATATTCACCCCTACCCTTAAGTTCCCAGGAAGACATACACCACTAGTGGTGGCTCATAGTCCACAGAGTTCTGAGAAACAGTGGCAGGGGATTCTGGGGAGAATATTTTCTGAACTTCACACTCTCAGTTTGTAGTACAATAAAATGAGTTCAAGCCCAAGGAAAAGAATGAGTGTTGAATTATGAATCTAGCTACTTTCTGTAAGGTCCTAAGTAAGTCAGTTGAATTAATTCTCATTTTAGAATGAGGTCTCGTTTCTGTATTCAGGTTAACAAAATACACAGAATTAGCACTTTTCCTGTTTCAAGTAAAAGATGGACCAAGAAGATGATATGAATTCTATAAATGCAAGTGAGAGCATGCAACGAGGATTGCTTTTCAAGTTAATGTGAAAACATGCTTTTTTTAAAAAAAAAAATTAAGTGAGTTTGGAATAATTTAATAGTAATGTGTAAAAAAGATCTGATTGGTTTTATTATGAAATTTTGTTATAATATCTAATGTGTTAGAGGTTTAAACATAGGTGGGGGATAAATAATATCAATACTAAAGATATCAATGAATTCTTTTATGAACTGAAAGTGAGTAAAACTTTTCTATTATGACTCAAAGTCTGGAAGAAATAAAGAGGTAAGATTGGTGAATTTTACTAAAAACATAAGTTCCAGCAAGAGGCAACACAAAGAATTCTTTAAAACTTGTATATGGAAGAATTACAAATTCAAAAGATGTACCGTGAAGGATGACTAACATTTGCAATTTTTATCAGAGACTAAGTGTTAGGGCTGGCCAAATAACTCAGTGGGATTAAAGTGCCTGTTTAGGCAGACACAGGGGCCAGGAGTTCAAGTCCCTGGCCTGCCGTGCTGGCCTGGCCCCCAGGGTGCACTCAGATGGCATGGAGACTGGGCGTGGTCACACACATCTGTAATCTCAGCACTTGGGAGGCTATAAACAGGAGGATAATTATGAGTCTGATCTATGCAGTGAGACCCTGTAGACCCTGTCCTAAATACAGAGAGAGAGAGAGAGAGAGAGAGAGAGAGAGAGAGAGAGAGAGAGACTAAGTGGTAACAGACCCCAAATATAAAAATCTAAAAATTGTCATGAAAGAGACCACAAGGAAACATATCCTTCAATGAGTTAAAGAGGAACTCGTAAGGGAATTTAGAAAATATCTAGAGACGAATGAATACAAATACAATATAAGAAAAGTTAGGAGATGCAGCAAAAGCATGAAGAACTAATGGGAATTTAGAGCAATTAATGTTTACATGACAGAAGAAAAGTCACAAACCAAAACTTTAAACTTTGCAGTCAAGAAACTGGAGAAAAAAAGCAAATTGAAACCAAAGTCAGAACTGGGAAGTAAGTAAAAGTAAGACAGAGATACGCAAAACAGAGCATGAAAAATAATAGAGAACACAATGAGACTAAATTTTAGCTTTGTCAGAAAGTCAGCAAAACTGCGACACCTTTTCCTATGCTAAGAATAAAGTATTCAAATAGCTAAAATTAGAAATAAAAAGAGATACTGCAATTAATCTCACATAAATAAAGAGGCTTAAAAGAGACCACTATGAACAATTAATGTATCTGCCAGCAAATTGAATAAACTAGAAGAAACAGACATTTTCTTACAAAAGTATCATCTACGGGCAATCAATTGTGAAAAATTAAGAAATGTGAAAAAAAAAAAACCCTCAAACTAGTGAAAAGATTGAAGCAATAATAAAAATGCTCCAAACAAAACGTCAAGTCTAGATCGCTTCACTGGAGAATTGTATCACTTAAGAAAAAATTAGCCTCAATCTTTCTTAAATTCTTCCAAGAATCTAAAGAGAAATAATACTTCAAAACATTGTATGAGGTCCGTACTGCCCCAACACTCCAGTACAATAAAAAATCTCAGATCAATGCCAAATTACTGTATAAAATAAGAGAAAATCAAATTAAGTGTCACATTAAAAAGATTCTAAGGGACAAACAAATGGAACTTACATCTAGAATGCAAAGATGGCTCGACATAGAAAAATTAAGCAATGTACCTCTGATCTTCATAATTTCCTTCCTTGTAAAAACTCTGGGTTTGGACAAACACTGTAAAAATATTGATATTTTCTTACAAAAATTTATTTTTCAAAAGATAAAAATGTAATGCATCACATTAACAAATGAAGGACAAAAGCACGTGATCATCTCTGTGGATGCAGAAGAAGAAAAAAAAAAAAAAAAGCAACACCTTTCCATGACAAAAATCACCAAACAAAGTAGGACTAGAAGGACACTAAAAACATAATAAAAATCATGCATGGAAAGTCCATAGCTAATATTCTCCATGAAGAGTGAAGGCTTTTCCAACCTGTTTTGAAAAGCGTTTTCACTTTTATGTTTATCTTTTTTTCTCTTCAAAATTATAATAGAAAAAAAGATTTTTCCTATAGGATGAGGAACAAGACAAAGATGTCCTGTTAGCATCTATTACTGAACATGAAACTCAGAGTTCTAAAAAAAAAAAAGGCTATAGAATCAAGAAATAAGAAGTAGGGCCAGCCAGATAGTCCGGCGGACTAAAGCACGGAGGTCCTGAGTTCTATCCCCGGCATGCAGTCCTGGCCCCACCCCCTTGGCGCCCCAAAACGGCAACTGAGACTGGGTGTGGTGGTGCACGCTTGTAATCCCAGCACTTGGGAGGCTGAAAATAGGAGGATCACTATGAGTCAGTTCTGTGTAGTGAGGCCCTGTAGACCCTGTAGATCCCATACTAAATACATTAAAAAAAAAAAAAAAAAAAAGGAAGAGGAAATAAAATCACCTTTTTTCACCAATGCCATAATCTTATTTGTACTGAATTCTAATGGCTACACGCACACACTGTCAGAAGAGATGATTTCAACAGTTTCAAGATACAAAATCAACAGCCAAAAACAAGTTCATTTTTACAAATTGCAATATTAATCAGCAAAAGAGTTTTAAAATGCTATTTACTATCATTTAACAACCCTGAGTACTTATAAGTGAACTTAACCAAACATAAGAAAAGCTTATAAACTTGAAAATGCAAAAATTTGTAAAACAAATTGGAGATACAGATAAATGGGAAGACACTTCATGTTCATGAGTTGGAATATTTCACATCATTAAAATGTTCATACTACCCAAAGTGATTTATAGATATACTACCATTCCTATCAAAATACTACTAACATATTTTGCACACATTTTTAAAAATACTGTAATTCATCTAAAATTTTGAGGGACTTTTAATGGTAGAAGCAATATTAAAAAAGAATAGTTTGATACTATATATTCTGTTATTTTAAAACATCCAACAAAGCCACAGTTATAGAAAATGTGTGCTTTTGCTATAGAGATAGACAGGTTCATGGAACAGAATAAAAAGCCCAGAAACACTCCTATGCATATATGGCCACATGATTTTCAATAGTGTGTCAAAGCAACACAATGGGTAACGGACAGACTCTTCAACAAATGGATTAGGGAAAGTGGGGATCCACTGCATGACTGCACTTGTGTGGAGCCTAACACTGATCTCATAGACGTTGAGAATAGATGAATGGGGACAGAAGGCTGGAGCGAGTGGAGGGGCAAAAGGGAGGAGGAGAACTGAGCAGACAATACTTAGCTATGCTTGGGGACGAATTCTCCTGATGTGTACTGCACAATAGGGTGACTATAGCTAACAATGATGTAATGTACATTTAAAGAATCTTTTACCCTAAAGAAATGGTAGATGCTTATGGATATATAT